TTACTTCTCGACCTCATTCGACGACCAGCGATAGTAATAGTGTCGCCGAAATATGCCAGAAAATAGGCATACTATATCTAAAAACAAGAGGTGGACAAACAGGTAGAGAATAGAGGGCCTTGGGACAAACATTATTTTACAATAGGTTTCCTTTTCTTAATCCAAAGCAACATTTTACTAAACGCTTTCCAATCAAACCAAATAAGTTTCAGCATGTCCACGCACTCGACTGATCGCTGCTACAAGTTTCCCTCCTCTCGGAAACACACCTCGAACCATGCACCACTCCCGTCTATTCCGGACGCCTTTGGACTCTCAACACCGTCCTGTCAATCGTCTTCGCCACATCTTCGCGACAATCTAACCACATCACTCCCCTCTGCACCTGCGCTCATCGCGGCGGCGGCGGCGCGCCGTCCACCGGCGGTCCCAGCTCAGTGCCGTGCACCCGGCGCACGTGAACGCGCAGGTTATCCTGACGCGAGAAGCGGCGGCCACACACCGGACACGGAAAGGTGACGCTCCGCTCGTGGACACACCGCTCGTGACGCACCCGGTGCACGGCCTGCGTGAACGTGGCGCCGCAGTAACGACACGCCAGCGAGCCACCTGTGAAACACGCCCGGGCGCGTCAGCCAGCGGAGTGGTGTCTTAATTTAAGATTTATGTTTTTTAATTCTATCATTTGATTGGTGTGTTTTTGTTTTGTATCATTTGTTAAAATACATTAGTTGAGGTTAACTAGCCGCCCGCGAACGAAGTGAGACAGCTATACGCCCCGCATAATTGGAGCGCAAGCGCGACGGCGTGTGTTGACTACGACACTGACGCTAGACGCCAGCGCGTGGTGTTATCGATTATTACCATGATAAACTAAGACTGTTATTGCCATACAGGATCTAAATGGCGTTGCGTTCGATACGAATCAAACACCAAACACATTTCAACTCTTAATTTATACTGGCGATCATCTCACAAATTATACATAGAATTCATCTGAAGCGATTCTCGATCGCTTGAATCGGCGTCACTTCGTTCGAATTTCTTTCGCTTCCTTCGATTGTTTTCGTTTCGTTTTCGTTATCGTTCGATCGTTTTCGCACTTCAATTTCATAGTTTCGTGTTCAATTGTTTCGAAGTTTGCCTACGCCATTTTCGTTTGTTTCCTCTTTCTTGTTTTTCTTTCTTTCTTTATCTTTTTGAATTTTTGTTGATTTTAAGATGCATCTCACGCATTTTAATGACACTCAGTAACCTCTTGCAGCCAGATTTTATCTTGTGTTCGGGGGATCCCTCACTCCAAAATAAGCAATAAATCGATGCTGTTGCCGCAACAACACCCTCCCCTTGAAACCTCTGTCCCTGAGGTTTCAACCTTGTCATATACTGTCAGATCAGTTTCACAATCTTCGTCACTGGGCGCTGCAGCGTTGTGCCCCGGACTTGCAGTTCCACAGAGCGAACCAATCCATCAGCGCTGTGTTTCACCCTAAGTACTCGACCCAATGGCCATTGACCTCGTGGGACGCTTTCGTCAACCACTACCACAATATCGCCCACACCTAAATTTGGCTTAGCTCTACTTAAATGGTGTGGCCTAGCCTGGAGCAATGGCAAATATTCGGCCCGCCAGCGTTTCCAAAACATATCCGCGTAATAAGCTGCCTGCTTCCATCTCTTACGACTGTTGCTGTCTGTTTTGTCAAAAAGATTGACGGGAACGAGGTCGTACCCTGCACCAGCGAGTAGCAGGAGGTTTGGAGAAAGTGGCTCAGTGTGAAGGTGATCAGTGGAAACTGGTGTCAGTGGTCTGCTGTTTATAATTGCCTCAACTTTGCACATGAAAGTCACCAAAGTCTCGTTTTTCATTGATGTGCAGGTTGTCATGCCTTCTAAAAGTCTTCCCAAAGACGAATGATATCTTCGCTTGCAAAACAAACACGTGCTCAAACCCCTTCGTACCGTGGCATTTCTTTCCAAGAGCCACATTACATCTTGCACATCAGCCAAAACGTGTTGCCGTCCAGCGTGTCCCAGCCTTTTGTGCACGTCTTGCATGAGCATCTCTGTGTTCTTCTCATGGGACAACATTATGATGCGATGTTTCGCGTTATAAGCAAGGTCAGCATTCTGTAATCGTTCTTCTCCAACGCAAGATACAATTGTACAAAATAAAATCACTAAAATCACAAAATAAAGAATGTTCGGTAATTTGACATGATCGTCCGTTAAGTGCAGAGGCACGTTGTACTGACCACCTTTGTACGCAACAGAACTTTCCACCTTCCTCATCCACAAACGATCCGCGGCGGACAACTCTCTTTTCGTGCAATGCAAATGTTCCGCGTATTTATGGTTGTTTGATGACTTGCTCATTTCTTCCAGAGATTCACCTTCAGTGACAGTTGTCTTGCAAACCGTTGTAACGTCAGGTGGGCCTGCCGTCTGATTCAAACCACATATTACCCATCCGAATCTGGTCAGCGTCGCATACGGGCTACCATTGACACTTGGGATAACCCTTAATGGCTCCATTGCCAAAAACGCATTAGCACCCAACAGCAAACCAACTTCTGAAATTTCTGGTTGGGGTAAAACGATATCCTGCAAATGATCCCACTCCTCCAAATCTTCTGCTTTGGGAAACTGGCCTGCTTCAACTGGTAAGTTTGGTAGTGTATATAGTACTGGTAATGACAGATGATTTTCGCCCTCCAAATCCGTAATAGACAGGCCAGCCACTACTTGAGTCGGTACGGAAACGGCCCGATCCACTGTCGTCAGTGTCAGCTGGCGACCGGGCAAATGTCCTAAATTAAGCTTGTGCATAAGTGACGTGGATATGAATGAGTGCGTCGACCCGCTATCGAGAAAGGCGAACGTTGTGCAGTGGCCTGATGCACTCTTAGCCTTTACAGCCACAATGGGTAAAATGGCTCCACACTTCTGACTTCCCGTTGAAATGCGACACGAAGTGACCTTAGCCCCATCAGCTTCGCCTTGTGTTCCCGGCTGTTCTTGAGGCGGCACGCCTCGCAGATTCCCTGGACCATCGTGTTCGTGTAAAGCAGTTGGATGACTTCGATTGCACGTGCGACATCTTGCCGGTCTCCGGCACAAAGTTCGCCTGTGACCTCTGCGAAGACACCCAAAGCAAAGCGAGTTTCTCATCACAAATGACTTCTTTTCTTCTGTAGACATTTCCTTCAGCTTAGCACACTCGGGGAGGTAATGCGAGTTGTCCCCGCAAAACAAACATGCCGAATAATCATGTGCTTGTGTCGCTGACACTAGTGACTCTTGATTTTGTTCCATAGAAAATGATCCATTAATTTGCTTCTTACCGTTTCCTCGACTGCCATCGTACATGTGCTGCCCAAAAGATGCGTTTGTAGCGACTCTCGCCTCTTTCATGACAAATTCGACTAGGTCTTCAAAAACTGCGGAGCGCCCATGAATTTCTTCGAGATCATCAACACGCCTGCGCCATCTATTTAGAAGTGAGCTGGGGAGTTTTTCTGTAATATTCCGTAACGTTCGCGGATCACTAATTAAATGGCATGCACTTCCCAATGCATTTTTACAGCTCATCAGAAGAAGCGCAAATTTGTCCAAATCTTCACCATTTTCAAATTCCATCCGTTCTTCGTCATTAATTTTATCCATGAACGCCGCTGCAATAGTGCTCGGTTGACCATAACGTTTGCGTAGAATTTGCATTGCCTGCTCATAGCCATCCTCAATATACATACAACTGGCAACGATAGTGTGCGGTTTGCTTCCACTAACCAAATTTTGTTCTAGATAATGCAACTTTTCACTGTCGTCTTCTAGCTTAGACGCAATCTTCATCTCAAAACTGCGAATAAATTGTGCAAACTGAGTAATGTCACCGCCAAATTTCGTAATTTCTATAGGAGGAAGACGCATCAATGCTGCCGTTCTTTCTCTTTCTGCCTTCAGCTCAGAATGCACATCATCTCGAGAACCTTTTAGATGCCGTTCGTTCAGCGGTAAATGGAGGCTGGGCTGTGAGCCGAGGGCTTTATCTGTCTGCGTTATGTGTGACTGTTGAATTGGGCACTGTGTATGTGGTTGGCTCGCTGGTGCTGGGCTTACGCCGCCATTTTGACTCGTATAAGCCTGAAACGCCTGCTCCCTTGCAGCTAACTCATTTATGGTTGACTGAAGTTCTAATAATTCCTGCCCGTGACGAAGTTCGGCTATTTTACTCTCGATATATTGTTTATCTCTCAAAGATCGCATTTTTTCAACAAGTGCAGCCCTATCAGCTGCTTGTTCTGCGCGCCTAAGTTCAGAATTGGCTGAATTACAACTAGAGGACCGATTTGAGACAGTAGATCTAATCTGGGATGCACTATCATCTGGCTGAATTGCAACATGCTCTGATTGAGACGCAGAAGTGCGTATCTCTAGGGCGTCGCATAATCGTTTTAGAAGTGTTTCCTTATTGCCTTTACAACTTATACCCCGAGACCTTAAGATTGTTTTAAGTTCTGCAACCTTCAGCCCCTCCATAATACCTACTACCGAAATTTTCACAATTAATTTAGGTAGACTTAATGACTAACACCTCTGGACAACCCACGGGACGAAGCACAGGGTGAAACACAGTCTGATCGGATATGGACGCCTGTAGCCGTAATGTCAATTCACAATGGTTTCTTCTTGTGCTCGTTTCAAGACCTTACCTCCTGTGCAGACCATAGGTAGCCAGACAAATCATTGCATTCTTGATACATGTGAACTTAATATCCTTAGTAAAATCAACAAGATGCCGCTTGTGGCTCGGTAAAACAAAATGTAGCAAATCAGGCAATCGTGTTTGATCACAATATCATTCTCTTCTGAATCTTGGGAGTTTGTCACTTGACAATCTTGCTGTGAATATCTTTAGTTCACGTAAATGGGCACTTCGAAACTGTTATTGCCATACAGGATCTAAATGGCGTTGCGTTCGATACGAATCAAACACCAAACACATTTCAACTCTTAATTTATACTGGCGATCATCTCACAAATTATACATAGAATTCATCTGAAGCGATTCTCGATCGCTTGAATCGGCGTCACTTCGTTCGAATTTCTTTCGCTTCCTTCGATCGTTTTCGTTTCGTTTTCGTTATCGTTCGATCGTTTTCGCACTTCAATTTCATAGTTTCGTGTTCAATTGTTTCGAAGTTTGCCTACGCCATTTTCGTTTGTTTCCTCTTTCTTGTTTTTCTTTCTTTCTTTATCTTTTTGAATTTTTGTTGATTTTAAGATGCATCTCACGCATTTTAATGACACTCAGTAACCTCTTGCAGCCAGATTTTATCTTGTGTTCGGGGGATCCCTCACTCCAAAATAAGCAATAAATCGATGCTGTTGCCGCAACAACAAAGACATTTTAACCCGGCAGGCGGTGGGCCTACCAGCCACCTTCCGCGCGGTGGGGGGGGGGCACTTTTTTGCCCCCCCCCCGTATCTCCGAAACTACTGGACGGATCCGGAAAATTCAAACGGTGTTCGATAGCCCTGTCAAATTTGTCGGGGGAAACCAAATTTCATTGACCTCGGGGTCACCGATGACGTCACAGGTCAGGTCAAAGATAAAATGTTTCACCGTTCACGGGGCTTCTAGGGAAAGCGCTATAACACCGAGTAAAACGCATTTTGTCGAAAATCAGCGATAAGGCGTCAGTTGTCTAGTACATATGTTGCTATTAGAGGTCACTGGTCATACCAGATCAGGTCACAGGTCAGGTCACCAAAGGTCACCAAGGGTCACCACATGAGCCCAACTTTACTAAGGTTATGCGATGCATGTTTTATGGCCAGTTTTTCATTTCCAACTCAATGGTGTTGGTTATAAGACCATCAGGTACGGTTTGGGTCACTTTCTGGTGGAGGTCAGGTCAAGGTCAGGTCAAAAAAGGTCAAATTTTAAAGTTGATATTTATGCATAAAATGGGTATCGATTCGATGCAGCTCGTCACGGGGAGTCTAATGGTGGTCTTTGTTTTGCTCTACGAGGTCTAGAATTGCTAAAAATTGAGTTTGAAAATTTGACGTCATCAGTTTTGAACAGTTTTTTCGCTATAACTTGGCCAAAAAAAGAGGTATCGATCTCAAATTTGGTATGTAGATAGAAGGCGGTAGGGGCTATCACATATATTCCGGTTTTTTCGAAATTCAAAAAGCTTTTTTGATTTTTTGGCTATTATATTCAAAAAATCTATTTTTGATTTTTGGGGGTCAAAATCCAAAAAATTCGAAAAATCGAAATAGCAGTTTTGTAGCCCTTTTAATTTTACACCTTTTATGTCTGAAACATTTTTCTGTATCTCTAAAGCTGTAGGCCTGACAGCTCTTCCCGCGAAACCTTTTTTTGGGTCGAAAATGGCAAAAATGACGTCACTCTGACGTCATTAGCGGCCAACCTATCATAGCCTTTGGAAAAAATTTTGGTCACCATGTGCGCTAGCTGCTCCCGGGAGGGTACTGAAAGTTTGGTGACGATCGGCGCAGCGGTTCTCGAGATATATCGAAAAAACTAAAGGGGGGGCAAAAAATTGCCCCCCCCCCCCACCGCCTGGAAGGTTAACCCTTCACGACATCACGACTCCAAATTGTCCCGAAGTTCAACGCGCTTTCATCCTTGATCCTTTCGAACTTGTCAGCATAATCCCGCCGCACGGCCGCTCCGAGCCATGCGGTACAGCATACCTTCAGGCGTTTATACTAGCGCCACCTATGGAGAAAGCTGTAAGTAGACGTTCGGAGAACACCCACGACCGTCAAGCAAATCTCCAACGTATGGCGGTGGGTGCTGCACCTTACGTTCACTGTGTTGTGTGCAGAGCTGTTCGTCGTGATCAGATGATTGGTAGCATGATTTTTAAAAGAAACGTGCGACTTTCCATATTGTTTATCACATTCTCCCCGGGGATGGAGAAGCGGATAAAGTCTATCACAGCATCAATATGAATTGCCAAAGCGCGCTAACGATGGGCTGCCGACCAGACGGCTCACTTCACAAAGCTTTGGTCAAAGTTTCAATACATACGCGGACTTGGGACCAAATCCTCCAGCAAGGCATTATTTTTCTCCTCGTGTCAAATCTACTAGGTAAATATAATGAAGAAAAAATCTTACGAAGCACTGAACGCCCTTTTTATTACCAAGAATCTCCCAAACATATTTACACAGTTCCACTCAATCATCATCCCAATGTATCTTATAGTTAATCAAGAATAAATCGCAAATAGCTGCGCTTGGCATTGAGCCCTGACGAATACAGATGATATGCTATAAGTTATAACTAGCATAATGAATTGTGACAAAATCATTCTGAAGTATTCAGCTAAAACAAAACAATACAAAAGACTAAAGGCAGACAGCAAAAGCAGTAACTGCTCAACGATAAGCAAACAATGGTTGATATGTTTTATATGCAATGAGCTTGAAGACAATGTCTGGCGACGAAAAATGACTGCAATTCTTTAAAAGCTCTCTCGCACATTTGCCCCATCGCTACACCTAATGAGTTGTCCACGGCGATCTATACCTACAGATTCATAGTAAAATAAACCTCAGCGGGCCAAAATCAGCCACAAGCCAGTCGCGACGTCTCTTGTGCGCATACAAATTGATCATATGTCCCAAACTGATCGCTGATCCAGGTCTGATTCACATTTGATCAATTGCTGATTTGCCTCTTATCCGCGTTTAATCGATCCATCTCTCATTCAAATTTGATCCGCACCAACCGAACGCAGAGTCATGTCACATAAGTCAATCACCGCTTTTGTCACTGCCATGGACTGCGCACCTTCCTCAGGCCTTAGCTTTATGCCTCATCCTTGGCCCCCAGACCCTGGTCCCTGACGGCCGCCGGGCCGAGCGAGTACGCCTCCTCTCCCTAACTACCTCTGCACTCCCGGCGGCGGTGTCGCGGCGCCGTCTCACTGATACAGTCCGGCCAGCTGCGCCCCCGGCGACCGGGACGGGTCCTGGGTCACGCCGTGCACCCTCTTCATGTGGACACGCATGTTGTCCAGCCGGGAGAAGGCGCGGTGACACACGGTGCACGTGTGCTCAGCCTGACGCAGGTGGACGCATCGCTCGTGGCGCGACCGGTGCGAGGCCTTTGTGAACCCGGCTCCGCAGTAGCGGCACACGAGCGAGGGTGACCCACCTGCCGGCATACAGGCACACCGTGTCAGCCGGCACCTCCGCCACCGCAGCACACAGGTCCAGCACTTCAGCCGGCACCTCCGCACCGCCGCACACAGGTCCAGCACCTCAGCCGGCAGCGCGGGGAGCCTTCACAGCCACCGCCGCACACAGGTGCACCGCGTCAGCCGCCGGGGTGGTCGCCGGGCGTCTCCAACGCCGGGAATATGGCCCAACGGGCAACGAAGGAGGGCAAAGAATCGGCGATCTTTTAGTTAGGACAACGATATTAGATGGTTTGCGATTGTGAGTGATGTAGTTGTTTCTTTGCCAATCCATACTAGTTAACTTTCATCAGGCGAAGGAGAAATCAAGGCAATTGGAAACGCGAACGCTTTACCTTGGCTATTCTCTATTCGATAAATGCAATCCCCTTCACTCAACTTAAATGACTTCAGTTGTCTTTTATTTATCAGCACTAGCAGCGTCTTAAATTTTTCCCCCAGAGAGCGACATAGCATCGATATAAAACACAGAAATACAGGCTTCACGCCACTCTCACCTCCGAGCCGGCGCCGCACCAGCCCTGTCGCCTCGCCATTAGCACGTGGAAACATCAGGTACGACCCTCACATTAGAAAAGCGTTCAGGGACCTCACACAACAGTCACCGCCTATATTGCTGACGAGTAGCGTAAAAGAAGCAATCCGCTTCTCTCCTCGATCGCGCGACCATGAAAAACCTAAAAACACGGCAGATGATTCCGTCTCGGATTCAGACTGTCCTGAGACGCAGGGCAGCAGAGCGAAGCGGCCGTAACTGCAAGTGAATATTGAATAATATGTAGTGCTGCGACCCACTGCACCGAGTTTCATGACACTCGTGGCTCGAGGCTTTCACATTTCGCCCTGTGGCGGCGATGGAGGAATGCAGTGTATCCAATCCAGGAGTTTCGGAGTTTTTTCACTAGCCTCAAAATATCGCGCATAAACTTTAGTGTCCGGAGATCGACAGCACACCTTTCCGCCAGCATAAGCAACAACCATCTGTCGCTGTATTCAAACCTGCAAAGCCATCTTACACACAAAAAGATTGGCAAAAGCTCAAGATAAACAAAATCCGCTCATTTGCTCGTTTACACGAAAGGAGGCCGACCCCGTTCAAAGCACATGCCACAGCCAATCAGCTCGCGCATACACCGCTGACTGGAAGCTCGAGATATCATCCACGCCCTCGGCTGCGGTCCATCACCTTTCCACCGCCCCTCCCTCACTGCATCACCGCCTCATCTGGGTAACGCGGCGGCAGGCGAGGCAGCGATGGAGGCTTCACCGGCGGCTACTGCATCTCGTCCTGCGATGGAGGGTTCACCGGCGGCTACTGCATCCCGTCCTGCCAGGGCGGCGGTGGACTAGCCGACAGGGGCGGCGGGTCGGCCTCTCCACTACGCAGCTGCTGCAGCGCCGCCACCCCGTGCACACGCCGCACGTGTGCGTACAGGTTGTCGCGCCGTCGGATGGCGCAGCCGCAGAACGGGCAGCCGCACTGGCCGCCACCCGGCCCATGCACCGTGCGCAAGTGGCGGTCACGGTTGTACGCCAGGGTGAAGCGAGCACCGCAGAGGTCGCAGGGGAAGTCTGCAACACGGTGTGCCGTGCTCAATGTGACGGAAGGGAGCGAAGACAAGCCCCATGGGTCGAGAGGGTGAGGCCGGCAATTCACGGAGAGGGCCGGGCGGCAGCGGCGGCGGCGGTGGCGGCAGGAGGACGTCTTAGCGAAAATTCGCATCTGATTGGAGGTTTGCGGAAGCATCCAGCTTTGTCCCTCGCCACTGCCAGGGCCATTTTAGCCCTTTGTGTGTTTGCTGTGCCTGTCTTTTACGTCCTACACGTAATCTTTACGTAATCTCGCCGCTGATAAAATTGACCGACCAACTGTGGCGTAAAATATTTTCGTCTCAGGTAAGGTGTAGACTAAGAACTTCTCTCACATCCCAATACTTTCAGAACACAGATGGCATTTGGATGATCACCCAAAAAAGGACAAGGTGAATTACGTATGTACAAGGTGAGACAATACGAATGATTTCATGATTCTTATCTGAATCATTGGGTGCAACAAACTACGTAGGTAGTCATAGTGATCATTAAGTCCTTTCTCAGCGCATTGCGCCGATTAGTTCACTTCAATCATAGCCAGAATTTCAAAAATAAAATCCCAGCAATGTCTACAGACTAAGCATTCATCGTCGCATTCCTCACAAGCTCCAGATCACACGTTCGTGTCAAATGCCACAAAGCTGAACCAGGGATTGATCCATCCACGACCAATTCAAGTCCACATGGGTAAGACTGACTCACCCAAGGCGGCCACCTTCGTCTCCGGCGTGGAATCATTACGAATCGACCTCCTCACACTATTCTCCACTCTCCTTCCTTCCAACGCAAGCCTTTTCTCCCGACCACCGAGTCCAGCTCAGCCTCAAAGTTCACCTATCCTCACCACCTCACACATCCCGCATCTGGTGCACCGTCCTCATATGTATCTTCAGGTTATCGGAGCGGGTGTACGAGCGGCCACATACGGGGCACGTCACCGGCTGGCGGCCCTCGTGGCGAATCTGCTCGTGGCGGCGCAGGTTGGGCTTGCGATTGAACAGGGCGCCACAGTAGCGGCACGGGAACGCCGCCGGTGCGCCATCCCCGCCGCCGAGGCCGCCGGCCGCCGCTGAAACAGCCGCAGAGAGGCCGCCGTCAGCCGAGCGCCGGCACAGAGAGAACGAGAGGAGACCCAGCCAGCCGCCGACACAGTGGGCCAGGCGAGACCGGCGGCGAGACGAAGGGAGGCTCAGTAGGAGCAGCGGCGGCCGCGGCAGCACCGGGAGCCGAACAGAGCGCTCAGAAGTCCAGGGCGGACAGATGTACAGGTGTGCATTTGGTTTCATGAGAGGGTCTGACGATAATTCGACTACCATTTCTTGCAGAGCGACATTGACATTGTGAGGGCATCGATAAGACTTTCTGGGAAAGTCCGTGGTAATCATAATCCCATCAAAACGCACTAGTATGCTAATGTGTCAGTCCATACGGCAAGAAAGATGTCGATCACCTACTTGCAAGAAGGATGGATAACATCGCTCCTTGCCCAGTCCCGAATCTCGGATGCTCAATGCAACGCTAGCGACGCCACGCGTACGATGCGTGAACTACTATTCCCCTTGTCGGGCGAGAGCAGCGCTAGTGGAGCCGGGTCATAACGAATCTGCTACCCATCTTGGCATTCAAACATGCCACTCGTGAGCCACACCAGAAGACTTCGAATAATTAGCTAGCAGTTCGTGAGCAGAAGAAAGATAATCATCAATAGTGCCTAATCGATGTTTTTTTCGGAATCTAGGCCAAATGTTGCCATTTGCCAAACTGCGACTGAAACAAACATAATAAGAAGCAAACGCATCTCAACATTTTATTATTGCGGCTTGCAATGCTCTGTGTTTCATAAAGTATGCAATTACTGGTGATCACAAATCATAAGGGGTTCAAAACAATAGCCATGTCAGTATCCGGTTTCCATACGAACGGCATAATGCAGACATATGAAGAAAACTGAAAATCACTGGTATGCGACATTGAATATTGATAATGCATCAAACACAGTCTCGGTAAAACGCGATCATTCATTCCCAACGGAACCCGAACTCCGCCTGCCCTGAACTGTTTTCGCACATCGACTGTGCTTCATCTCACTCAATAATTAGCAGTCCGTCTTATATGATTCGCAACTCCAGACCACACACAATGCAAGCCAGTCGCTTGGGAACTCCGATCATAACATTAGCGGCATATGAACCAGGTCAAAAAGGCATGAGAGCGCCACTGACTGGTTTGTGTTGCCCGGCATACGGTTGCTAGTCGCCCAAAGACAGACATCTTTGGGTGACTAGGTCCTGCTAACTCGAGTTAGGAGCGATGATTGGTCACAGTATGACAGGCTGGTATGGGGGTGACCCCGAGTCACAGTATGGCCCGCTGGTATGGGGTCACAGTATGACCGACCGGCCGGTCAGGGTGACCCGGTCACAGCACAGCCGTGAGGTCGGGGTGGGCGGCGCGGCAGTGACGCACCAGGTTGGCCCGGGTCGAGTAATGCACGCCGCACACCGGGCACACGGTGAGACCGCGGTGTAACGCCAGGTGTCGGTTCAGGGTGCGTCTGCCCGCGAACTGGCGGCCGCACACGGGGCACGCCACCCGCCCGCCGCCGCCGCCTGCAACAGCGGCCGGGCGTCAGCGGCCGGCCTCGGACGGGACGGAAGCGGGTATAGGCGGCGGCGGCGGCGGCGGGGGTGGGTGGCGGGAGCCGGTAGTTCAGTCTGGACAGACCGTGTTGTATTGTGTGGTCCGGAGATTTGTATTGTAGGTGAGGCTGACTCATGGTCAAACGTCCCCGCAAAATTATAACTAATTCAGTATATTTGCGCAATGCTTGGCGGCTCGTCATTTGAGTTGCTTTGATGATCCAAGATCACGTTTTTTGCCGGTTGAGCAGTCATCTGGCAGGTGGATCTAACAATCTACAACGTCCAAGAATACTTATTTCAACGCTCTCCCACAGAACATACATACAACCATAGACCTCTGTATACAGAGGTCTATCATACAGAGGTCTATGATACAACCCATATCCTTGCCGTCGAAATATCAGCCTATATCTGGAGCTTTCCCTCCAGATGATCAGTCAGATCTGCGCACGACCGACTACCTCATGTGATGTTGCTGAAGTAGCCTGAGTACACTGATAGTCCTTAAAGCCGACGACGAGTGACGACCATAGAACAAACAAAATACATCTCGCTGAGGAATACGCCCGTCACCCAAAGAAACCTACTACTGACTTCTATTATACTGTCCATTGAAAATATCGCCCGTATTACCCAGTTCCCATCTACCCGAATCTCCGCATCTCTCTATTGCCGCGGATCGGTAGGCGCCACTGTATGATCCTCATCGACCACAGGCTTCA